CGTCAAACTCTTAGCTCTCAGGCCACTCCTCCGGGAGGGTGGCCAGAGACCCTTGGCAAGAGGAGCCATCCACACTCTCCCATAACTACCAGGCTCAATTTTGACACGTTACCTCTGTCTGGAATTAACTGGTTCATGTACTAGTTTACTTGAGCATCATCCATTACCCTTAAAATGTCAGCTCCAGGAGGAGAGGATCCTTGCCGACTTCGTTCATAGCTCTCTCCCCAGCACCTAGCGCAGTGCCTGGGACATAGTAGATGCTCACTAAAGATGAGTTGAGTGAGTGACGAATGAAAGGAATCCATAGGAAACACTGAGCCCTGAGCCTGGCATGTAGAAAGCTTGCCATTAGTAATAGTAATAACCATGACAATAATAAAGTAAGTACGCAGAGTCCTGACAGCCAGAGCAGGGGGCAGGCCATCCTGGGAAGGGAAGGAGCCTGGTGTTGGCAGCCCCCCTGGTTCTTTCTTGCTGTGTGACCCTGGGCACTTCACTCACCCTCTCTGGGCTATGCTTTCTTCTAGAGAAATCAGGAGGACTCTGAAGCTGGGCTGCTTAAGGGGGAAACAAGATGGGACATTTTTTCCTTCCTTTTCATCCTCTCTTCCCAGAGGGCCTAGCTCCCAGGGAGGCGATGTGATGAGGAAGGAATCCAGAGGAATGAGTTGTAACTGTAATTATTGGGCAAGTGTGTGGGGAGGAGGAATGGGTGGCTGAGGGGCCTGGGCTTTACCTGGATCCCATCCTCCCTTCTCCTCCTGCCCATCAGTGAGTTTCCACCTGTTCCAGGTGTGTGGGGAGCCGGGAGCCCTGGGTGGGGAACTGCTGGGTCACACGGGCGTCCCCTAACCTCTCTGGGTGGAATTTCCAGCTCTGCCAACCACTCTGTCTGCTTTCTCTTCCTCCCAGCTGGTGAGCTGGGGGAGGTGTGTGAGCCCCAGGCTTACCCAGGGGGAGGGCGTGAAGGGAGGAGCCCTCCTTGCCTGGGCACCAGTGAGGCCCTCTCGCTGGAGAGCAGGCACCTGGTGGAGGAGGGTGACAGAGTTACCTCTTCTCGGGCCGTCCATCCCTGCCCCCAGAACTGACACCCCCACCCCGAGGCCTGCCTGTTTCTAGACTGAGAAAGCTCTTGGGGTCTGGTCTGACCCAGGAGCTGTGTGATGGCGGGCACGGGTGTGCATGTGGTGTTTGCATGGGGGTGGGCAGGTGTGTGGGGAAATGTGTGTGTCCATGAAGAGCTGTGTGGGCTGTTCATTTGGACGCAGGTATGTATGTGGAGGTGTGTGTGTGTGTGTGTGTGTGTGTGTGTGTGTGTGTCTGTGTCCATGTAGGAGGGATGTGTGGGTGTGGGGAGTGCTCACACGGGGGACTCTGGGTCCATCTTCCCCCCCTTCCGCCAGCCACCCCTGGACCTCACCCCGAGCAGGTTCCAGCTGCCCACATGGGGTCAGCCCGGGTGGACTAGGGCAGAGGCAGGACCCCCTCCCTCCCAGGTCTCCCCACCAGCCCAGGGTGAGGTTTTCAGCTCCCTCTCCCCTGCAGGCTCTCCCAGCACAGTGTTACAGAAGGGAAAACAGTCTAATGCCTGGTCCCTCATCAGCGGCAGACCCTTGTTTCTTTAACATGAGCACCTACTATGTGTCAGCCTAGGAAACCAAGCAAGGCCGACGAGGTGCCTGGTCTGGGAGCTCATATTTTAGTGGGGGAAGCAGATGCCAGACACAACCATGTGGGGAGAAGAGTGAAACGATGGCGAAGACGGGGGATGGATGGGACGGGCTGATCAGAGGGGCACTACCCTTGGCTCCGGGTGGGCAGAGGACCCCCTAATTGGGTGTAACGACCAGAAAGAGGCATCCTCGGAAGAGTGCCCCCAGATCTGGATGTCGGCAGAGTGTAGTCACTTGCCACCTGTCCCCAGCACCTGCACACCCAGCTCAACACAGCTGGATGGGCCCCTGCTCCCCCTTCACCAGAATGTGTTCCAGAAACATACAGTGGCTTCTCCGCATGATGGGAGAACGAGGAGGAAACAGGAAGTGACACAGAATATCTGTCCGACCTGCGCAGCAGGAACTGGGCAGAGCAGGCGGGCCTGCCTGTGGGCGCCCGGATGATGTGTAGGGTCCTCCGTGGAAACACGTGCCAGTCTGCTGGGATGTTGGTTGTGAGGGAGCCTGCGCTTGCGTGGGGTGGTGGGACAGTTCTAGGAGGTGAGCTGGGAGGTGTGTGAGCCCCAGGCTTACTCAGGGGGAGGGCGTGAAGGGAGGAGCCCTCCTTGCCTGGGCACCAGTGAGGCCCTCTCCCTGGAGGGCAGGCATGCGGGGGGGGGAGTGGGGGGGGCGTGGAGCTGGAAGCTGTTTCTCTGTGGGTGACTCTTCACTGAGACCGCACTGCCTCACCTCCACAACCACAGCCCTGCTCTCCATGCCAGGAGTGCCCACGTCATGTGGATGATTGTGGAGGCCCTACCACATGCCCAGAGCACCCCCTGGGCGGTGGCAGCACCTCCCGAGCTGGGAGGGAGGGGAGGGGATGGGACAGGGCCTTCAGTTATGCTGATCCTCTGCCTACAATGCTGTTTCCTACAGGAAGCCCTCTGGGAAGCCTTGGACCGATTCACTCCAGTTCCCGGGTCAGCATTTCTGTGTTTGGAGAGGATGAGGGGCGCTGCAGGAAATGGCTTCATGCACGCATTCATTTCACCCACTCGTGCATTCCGTCACGATTCAGCCTGCTCACAGGGACTCTGTGCAGGGCTGGGCAGAGGAGGCGCCTGCTGAGCCCAACAGGTGATGTTCTGTGTTCCCAGAGCTGTGGCCACTGGGAGACAGAAATGAACTGGTAGGCAAAGAGATGAGAGGTTTAGAGGAGACCTCTCAGGGGAGCCCAGAGAGTGGTGGGGCTCGTCTAGACAACAGTGTTGAGAGATGAGAAGACGCTCCTTCGCCTCTCCCCACCCTATAAACGTGCTACTGTGTGGCGGCTGGAGCTCAGGCAGCTGCTCTGGCCCCGAGACAACCAGAGGCCCATGTTAAAGGATGACGGAGCAAGAACGCAGGAGACAGCCAAGTCTGAGGACCGCAGACCTGCAGTATCAACCGAGGCTCAGCAGCTCCAGGCTTCTTTCACACGGCACTGATAGGAGCCTCCAGCTGGCAGAACTTTGTACTGGAGTTTTCTTACATTCAGCGAAGTCAAATCTCAAGTGTTACAGCAGGAGAGCTGGGATTTATGTAAAGAGCAATACGGAGTCACGGAAGGGTTTTGAGCACAGGGGGGACATGGAGACTATTGATACACATATAAATCTCTCTCTCTTTTGTTAATCCTTACCTGAGAATACCCCCCCCCTTTTTTTTAGAGAGAGTGGAAGGGAGGGTGGGCGGAGGGAGAGAGAGAGAGAGAGAGAGAGAGAGAGAGAGGAACTTCGACGTGAGAGAAACACATTGATTGGTTGCCTCCTGCACACACTCTGACCAGAGCTGAGGATGGAGCCTGCAACCCAGGTACGG